TGTATGTTTAATATCAAAAAGCTAAATAACCTGTGTACTCCTATGAATACATATTAATGAAGCATGAGTAACGGATAGTCTTCAGTGGTACCAGAATGGTTTTGAACTAGGAATAGAAAGGAAAGAAAAGAAATGAACAGTTACAGGCATTCATCATGATGTGCAAGGTGCTTTATAGCAATTTTCTCACTTACTCCTCACAATACCTTTATGGGATATTTTTACCCCCACTGTATAGATGGGAAAGCTGAGGCTGAGGGAGGTTATCCAACTTGCCAGGTAAACACAACAGCCACAACCGGGCCCCGAGTCCAACAGGGTTTCCCTTTGCTGCTGCACCAAGTGGCGATGGGGGCTGGGACTCCTGCTGGGGCTGGGGCAGTGCAGTCTGAAGAAGGGCTGAGAAGAACCTCTAGTCATGACAGATCCCACTCTTCATGCCTCTAATGAGGCCAGAATTACATCTGAAGAGGTTGGACTATTAAAATTTCAAGGAATGGGGCGCCTGGGTGGCTCAGTCATTAAACGTCTGCCTTTGGCTGAGGTCATGATCCCAGGTTCCCTGGAATCGAGTCCCACATCAGGCTCCCTGCTCCACAGGAAGCTGGCTTCTCCCTCTCCTACTCCCTCTGCTGTGTTCCCTCTCTCAGTGTGTCTCTCTCTGTCATATAAATAAAATCTTTTTAAAAAATTTTTTAAAATTTCAAGGAACAATAATTACACCCCAGAACTCTTCCTATACCATCAGCAACAGCTGTGACGTCACATCTGTCTGTTATAATATGCAATATTTTCACTTACACCCCTGGTCCCTGAAGACCTGCACTGAGTCTCCACCTGGGCTCCCATTTCCTGGTGCACACATAGAGGAGATCACGAATAGCACAGAGCTCAAGCTGGGCTTGGGCTGACATTTGTCAGTAGGGTCCCCCCGTAAGTAAGGAACTCCTTCGTCATGGCTGTATTGCACCGACAACCACACACACTTATTTTCTGTCCACACCCAGACAGACTCAAAACCTCACAGATGCTGAGGAAGCTGATATGGCTGGTCATAATTGCCCACACCTTGCCTGTGTCCCTCTCCTGGCTGCTGTGTCACTTTGACAGATGTCGGACTTAGCATCACTAGAGATGGGCCCATCATGGACTTGGAAAGCTGTATCATTTCCAAATGCAGACTTGCCCAGCCAAAATAACAGGCAGTGCTCAGGGACGTGCCAAATGTGTGGAAATACGGGCAGCTTCCCTGCTGTTCACAAGCACTCATGTCCCACTCCCCAACAGAGGCAAAGGCTCGGGTCCAGACACACTGTTCCTTTAGGGCCTGTTTGGTGCTAAATAAAAACTCTCCATAGTTATAAATTTGAATCATAATCCCTGTTTATACTATTGATATACCATCTGTACTCTCTGTTGCCTTCATCTAAACTAATTGGCCCTGCAAACACTTTATCAAAGAAGTGCTTTATGCTAGTAGGGAGCCGGGTGATTAGGTCCTGGAAAAGTAGCTTGATATTCAGGCCAGAAAGTTAATTACTAACATAATTATCAAAACCTTATATTTTTCAGGGTTAAGTCAAGCATCGCTGACTAAATGGGCAGGGTGCCTTTTTTGGTTGGTTGGTTCTCTGGTTGACATGTAATTAGCTCTTAAAGACAATGCATTTCTTGACTTTTAAAGCCAAACACAAATATCTAGATATCTATTCTATCTATAGAACATTACCCCAATTGCCAAAATTCACCAAGAGAATCTGAAATGAAATGAAGTCATAAACTGACTCAACCCATCGTTCAAAACTCTGTATTCAAGGCTGTCTCTGAATGATTTTTCTACAGCAGACACAACAAACTTAATGCTACTTTTTTCTATATAAAAGGCAGAGAACCTGGGGGGCTCATTAGGTTAAGCATCAGACTCTTGATTTCTGCTCAGATTGTGATCTCAGGGTCATGAGCTCAAGACCCACGTCTAGCTCTGAGCTGTGTGGAGCCTGCTTGGGATTCTACCCAACCCCTACTCCCTCTACTCCCCCAGTCTCCCCACTCTAGCTGTCGTGTTCTCTCACTAGGGGGAAAAAAAAGAAAAAGCTGTAGGCTTCCGCTGTACTCCTCTTACTGCTTTTGGTGGATTATTTCTTTTCCAAACCACCTCAATTCAGCTTTCACTGGACTGCTTATGGACACCAAAAGGAGTATAATGTTGCAGGTCCTCAGACACAAAGCTGCTCCAACAGTAAAATGGGGAGGAAGTTTGTCTACTTGTTTGAAAGTGGAATAATATGCAATAAAATAACGAAAAATAACATAACATAAAGTAAAATAATGCAATAAAAGGAGCATCATGGACTGAAAGTTTCAGCTTCTCAAGAAAATGAACTCTCTCTGTGATGAGCTAACCACCATAGGACAGAACTTGCAATATGTTGCCAGTGTTGCATAGGTGGCCTGAAAGAATGATAGATGACCTTAAAGCATATCTCACACAGACTTCTAGACTCTCCTGAACTATGTGAATGACATATGGGACACATGGCATCTAACCAGGCATTTAGCAGTTCAAGAGCTCCCCTTGACCTCTCCAACTTGCCTGGAATTTCATAGAAAGGACTCTGAATATGCCCATCTGGGATCTTACTTTTTTCATGAACTACTGTTTAAAGGATGAACGAAGTTTCCAGCCTGGCTTGAATGAGCTCCCATCAATTTTACCCACCACCACATTCCTGCACCTTGGATGAGAACTAATTAAGCTCATGTGGTAGTTTTTTTTTTTCCCCCAGACTGTCTTTTGCAGCTCTGGAACAGAGCACACCAAATTAAGCCCATCTGTCTAATTGGGAAGAAGTTATTTATCCCACTGCCAAGCAGGCTTTCTTTCCTATGCAGATGCTGCATTCCAAGGTTCCTAAACACCTTGCGGTGGTGATGGTAACCCCAACTCAACCAGCTAGACTTCTGGGAGAGCAACTGCATCAAGGATCACGCACCAATCCATAGCAACCATTTCCTTGCAAGGCAAAATATCCAAAGAAGCCACAAAGTATGCTACCAGACTATCATTCAAGGTCAAAATTACAATATCCAAGAGTTAAGTTGTTGTTCAGCTGCAATCTTGCCCCCCACAGAAAAGGGGGGTGGGGATTTAAGTCCTTTTTCATTAACGATGTCCCATTAAAAGAACCTAATTAATTTCAGTGGCATCTTCTGCCACATGAGGTTACTTCTGTTGAAAAGGAAGCAGCAACCTTGCCGATCGCATAGGCCAGAGGACAAAGTCATAGGAAAGATACCCTGGGCAATGATGATGCCCACACGCCCGCCTGGGCACCGATGTCAGGCTCCCAGGATGACGGCTCTCAGCCCCCAACTGATGCTTCTCAGCTCAATCAACTCAACTGTAGTAACTCCCACCACTGCCGACTGCTCAGAAAGCAAACAAAAAAGAAAGAGAATCAGTAAGTATCTGATAGTCATGATATACTGTTACTCCTGACCTAAAGAATCTTCACTTAGGCTGAGTTAAGGAAAGAAATTAAAGTCCACAGGAACACCAGAGTTTCACTAGAGAAGTGAAGAATGTCCACTTGCAGAAAACAGAGGTGCCTAAACTAGCTGGTGGGTCTGTTATGTAAGAGGTGCTTTATAACAGAAAAGGAATTATTAATAAATGAATTGTTCCGAGTTTCTTAATTATTGGTTTTTCTTTAATGCCTACCCTAAGTAGATTTATGGAAATTAAATAAATAAATAAACAAACAAACAAATAAAGACTTGATTGAATCAGCAGTTTTCAAACTGTTTTGAAAGGCAGAGAGACTCTTTTTTTTTTTTTTTAAGATTTTATTTATTTATTTGATAGACAGAAATCACAAGTAGGCAGAAAGGCAGGGAGAGAGAAAGGAGGAACAGGCTCCCTGCCAAGTAGGAAGCCTGACTCCAGGCTTGATCCCAGGACTCTGGGATCATGACCTGAGCTGAAGGCAGAGGCTTTAACCCACTGAGCCACCCAGGTGCCCCTAAAGACAGAGAGACTCTTATTCAAAACAGATCCATGTGGCCTTTCCTCCCTCACCAATATATAAGAGATAGTCAAAAAGGATTTCGTCTGGATGAGGAGACATTCCAGAGGGGGTCCTGAGGTCAGCATAGTGAAATAAAACAATGTGAAAAGCACTGAACTAGAATGGATCCAAATAGAATATATGATTAAAATTTAAGTTAATAAGCACAGAAACGTCAATAAGATTTTTTGTACCAAATGCACAACATGGAAATATTAGCACACATATGGATTACAAAGAGAGACATAAGCTATTTATTTACTATTTATCACATGCAAGTTCAAATGCAGCATTAATCCAAAATGGTCTTCATGAAACAGCCAAATGAATTTCAACACCCTGAGTATAAGGACAGAGCCATGAAAAATGGTGATTATGAAGGTCTTAATGACATTTAAGAACTATAATAAAATATTAAGTAAAAAAGCAAGAATTATATTGTTGACGTAAAAATGCCCAGAAAAACACCGAGCAGGGATCTGCTAAAATACCAACACAGTAACTACCAAGTGAGAAATTAGGGTGGTTTCTGGCTTCTTCAAATTCTATTTTGTTTAAGGAAGGGAGAAAAAAAGGCAGGAAAAATCTAACCTAGACATTCTTTGGGCTTAGAGGCCATAAAAATGTAGTGTACACTGGCCAACAGTGAAAACACTTGTCACTTAAGTTAAAACATAAAATTCAGTCTTTCGATGACTATAAAGATTGGGTCGTGCCATCTCAGCCAATACCCAATTCATCTGATGGCCACAGAGCTAGATGATTCAGCCTCTAGGACCTGACCTTTGTACCCGGATCTAGCACCGCAGCTTACAGAGGGATGCTCCAGGCACAACCAGGACCGCTAGAAGGCCTGGAGGGCATGCGGGATCAGGGGCAGGACACGGAGCAGCCCCGCAGGCCAGAAGCATATTCCCAGACCCACCCACTCACCACATCCAAGTCCTGGGAAACCCGCCGCTTCCGGAGCTCCTCCATCCTCTCACACACATCGGAGAAACAGGTGTTGTAATAATCTGCATACTGCTGTGCCAGGTCATCGATGTTTCCCAGCGAGCCGTCCTGGGGGCGAGGAGAGTAGGAGGAAGACACAGGAAGAGAACAAAGGCAGTCAGTCCACCTGCAAAAATACCAACCGCTTCCCGTCCCCACTCTCCATGTATTTTCCCTAGTCACGGCTGGTATTCATTATGTTGTGAGCATGCGCCGGGCTAACTTTCACACGTGACACCTCTTAACCCTCAGGCTACCCGCTGGACGCCGGACCTGTTCCTCACTGTGCGGAGGAACACACAGTAGGTCACCGAAGCTGAGCGACCACCCAAGGGTTCCAAGGCTAACAAGCAGAGAAGCCAAGCCTCCAGCCCAGGACTGCCTGGTGCTGAGGCCATGGTCTTGAACTCACACCTCTGCCTGCCTGGCAGGGCTCAGAAACACTTAGGGGAGCACCTGCCGAGAAGGTGCAGGGGAGAGGCTCCCTAAGGCCCGATCAGTGGCTGCACCAGAACCTCCTGGGAAGATCCTGAGAAACTCTGCTACCAGGACCACCGCATTCCCAGAAATTCTCAGGAGATCCAGAGAACTGAGGACCCATGAGGGATGCTGCGTCTGAGACACACCTGTGCCACGCCCTCCTGGGAGACCCTTGAAAAGAGCACCATATCCCTTCAGTTATTCCAAGAAATAGAAAAAACATGCAAGAAGAGCACAGGTTACCAGTTTACCTAGAGGAAAGCCGTCTGTGGCCTGAGCCACCGCTCTGGACCCCACCCTCCTGGGTCCACACTCAGCTCTGCGACCCCTAACAGGTCTCGGCCAGAGGCGGGTTTCCTAATCTCCGGTAACTCTGGAGCACTGAGTACCTATGGCACAGTGAGAACTAATGAAGGAACACGGCCCACCAGGCCCACAGGACTATGAGCTCCTAATATTCACTACAAGATAATGTTTCAGACTATAGTCTTCCCTTTGGGGAGTTGATGCCGAAATGCACGTCTCAACACATTCACGAGGCCAAATGCTGCCTACATTTGTAAATTATGCCATTTGTTCTGTTCATTCATTCATTCATTCATTCATTCAGAGAAACATTTCCCCTCCCCTTTTTACCTCCCAACCTGTCCTTTCTTTGGTATGAATAAATGGCGCGACCAAGACAACCAAAGAAACACAACTCGGAGCAAGCCTAGAAGGTGCCCACGCGCTCCAGCTTACAGAGCACAGTCCTGTCACATCACACACAGCAATGCTTGTCTAAACCCGCCAGACACAATCCGATGCAAGCAGGGCGGGGGGAATTCAGAGTTCGCCCCCAAGGCTTTTTGCTGAAGACCTTCAGGCCTTATCAAGAGGCCCGGGTCAGAGCAATCTCTATCCCATATCTGCGCATTCACCAGTTTTATGCAACCAGCGGACAGGAGAAAAAGAAAGAAATGATTTTAATTTTTTTTTTTTAAGAAAAAAAAAAAAAAAACCCTCTTCCTTTTCCACCAATAAAATGTTCTCCTAATTTAATTGCCTCCAAATCCTAGTGCAGAGCTAGGGGCCAGAAGAACTCTTCCAAGACCAATAAGATGCTTGAGTTTGAACATGTCTGGACAAAAGTCATTCCCATTCCTTCCGCTGGTCCATCTGTCTATCTCAAACAACAGGCTGTAAGGACACAGTAGAGGAGCTGGGAGCCTAACCCCTCTTCAGTAGGTTTACTATCAAGTTTCCAATAGGGAAATATGACTAGTCAAGGTAAGAAATCCGCTGCTGGGCCTCTGAGGAAAGGTCCAGGGGTGGTCAGCCTGGTGGTCTTCGCTTGACTGCTGTCAAACTGCCTGGAACCAGAATCACAGGGGAGGAGGGAGGCCAGACCAGAGCATCTTAAGGTGATGCTCCTGCAATACAGCATGATAAATCAAATTATGGTCCCACGGTTTGCCCTGACTTGCCTCAAATCAACCACATAAACCCTTTCTGTTTCCCCACTTTGTCTGTTCTGCCATGAACACAGCTACCAAAGTGACCTTGCTAAACAGAGCTGACCAGCTGTCCTTTCCCTGGGAATCACCCATGCTACCCTATCACCTGGTGACAAAATAAACCCCCAGCTTGCCGGCCTGGACCTCAGGGCCCTTCACTTTACCTCTGCTCCCCTGTCCGCTGGGCTGAGGGGGGAGCTTGGGCCCCCAGACGGGGAGGCTCAGGGCAGCCAGAAGAGCAATCAGCAGCTTCCTAGAGTGACCACTTTCCCTTCAGAGTGGTTCTCTCCCAGCCCACCAACCTCAGCCCCAGCACCAGGAGGAATGAGTCCTGAACACTGGCTATTCTTGGCAGCCCGGGCTAGGAGAATGAGAGCTCAGGGCCTGCTGCGGGGAGAGCTTGAGTCCACAGCCTGGCCAGCTGCCTTCTGTCAACCTAGCATTTCTGCTTATGCCCCAAAGAAGCAAGTCCTCCGGGGCCCCCTCCTCTTCAAGACCCTTGGTTTCCTTAGTTCCCGCCCCTGGTATATACTGGGAAAGACCAAGGCACTCCCTTCAAAGTGTGCACTGAAAGGTGGGGGAACAGAATTGCAGCCACAGCACCCCAGAACCTCCTTCTCTGAGTGATTGTCTGGACCCGGCCACGGCCCACTGGGGTCCCCCACCACTGGGGTGCCTGGCACCTCCTAAGCCTTTTAGAGTCATGTCAAGTCTCTTGAGAAGATGATGCTATCCTGTCTTCATCCAGAAACACCCACCTCCATCCCTCCAGGGAGGGAAACATGCCTGCCACTTCTGACCAAATATAAAACCCACGTCTTCTAATGCCTGAGTGCATCTGTGAGAGGCCTTACAGATTATAGCTGCACATCTTCCTATGGCTTGCTGTTCTTAAATGGAACTCAATGTCTCTCTCTGTCTCTCTCTGTCTCTCTCTTTCTCTTTCACAGAGGCACTAAGAGTTGTTCTGTTCTAGCCAAGCCGCTCCAATTTTGAATTCTGGCTTCTCAAAAATAACCAGCTGAACTCTACAACTTAACACAGTCAACTGTCTTCTTGGAATAATTAAGTCCACTCCAAAAAAATGCTTAGTTATTTATATAGCTTTGTTCAAATTACCTTCTGTCCCCTTTTCCCAAGCAACACCTTCAAAACCAACTGTTTGCTTCTCAAGTTTCCAAGCTGTCGATCAAAGGTTTTCTGCTACTAGTGAGAAAGGTTAAGTCCCTCTTTCTCAGTCCAAATTACTCAATTCCCCAATAACTTGGGGACCTGGAAAACATTTCTGTTGCTCATAAGAAAAAAGGCAGCTGCTCAACTCAATGTGGGCCAGAGACAGCAAATGCTTCACACCCTGCAACGTGCTGCTTACCCACTCCTTACTCGGCGCTCAGCAGACAATAATTTAGACCAGAGTGGCATAGCTGCCTCTCTGTTTTCCCAAATCGCTTTCCAGATGTGCAAGAAGTCCCCCAAATTTCCATTTTCTTCAGTTTTGATGACCAAGAAAACCAAATGAATAAAAGAACATGTTTTGGGGCACCTGGGTGGCTCAGTCATTAAGTGGCTGCCCAGAGTTCTGGGATCAAGCCCTGCATCGGGATCCTCGCTCAGTGGGAGGCCTGCTTCTCTGTCTTCCATTTCCCCTGCTTGTGTTCCCTCTCCCACTGTGTCCTCGCTATCAAAAAACAAAACAAAACAAAAAAAAAAAACAACTTAGAAGAACATGTTTCTAAAAAATAAGTCTTGTCTGCCATCCCTAGAAAGGAATCCCGTTCATCTCCATCAAATGGAACCAATGAACAACCACAAGATCATTTTCTCTTTATCCTCTCAAAACCCATGTTCCTTCAGGACTACCTGGAAACCTCTGTACCATTTCTGTCCAACCTGTTCCTACTTGAGATAGCAAAGACTTATTCAGTCAGAACCTTCACTTCTACCAGAAATGTTTGCAAAATCAGTCCACAGGAAATTTAAATAATGCAGCTGGCTGCTTAATAGCACCATATCTCCCGCATCTTTCCTTTGAGAACATGAAGTCACGTTTCACTCAACATTCAACAAGGCTGATGTCAAGAGGCACTGATGTTACAGAATAAACTTGAGACCATGACTTTAAACTCTCTCTAAATACACTGAAATAGATTCCTTTTAAAACTTTGTTTCTTTTAAGGTGTTCATTGTTTCTGCTCTAGAGTTATTACTTGCCTAATTTGTTTCACTTCTTTTTTTCCCCTTTGGTTCCCATGCATCAGACTGAAGTATTATGGGTTCAAATTTAGGAACGGGGAAATCTTATTTCCTTAAAGTTGTTTTTTTTTTTTTTTTAAGTAAATTGTGAAATTTTGTGCCCCATGATCTTTTTATAAGAATTTTCCCATTTTCATCTAAAAAAAAAGACTCCATGCAAATTCAAGTTCTCCTTCCTTTTCTTATTATAAAACCAGGTCACAACATCCTTCTATAGGGCCATCTACTTCACTTGGTATAGCTTTAAATTAAATCTGTGGTCTCACTCCCAGTGGCAGGTCAAGGGAAGACAAATCTTGCGTAATCTTCCCACGAAGCTGAAGCATACATGTATACCAAACACTCCTCTTTTATACAACCAACATAAAGACAGAGAGATAAGGGGCATTTGTACCGAACAATTCACATCCGGTAGACTGCTGTTACAATTAAGGAGAAAAGAAACAGCACTGTTCTCTCAACAACTGATGTAACAGTATTTCTGATATTTACCCCAATGTATTTCTGTCTCTGGAGAAGTGAAAACTAAAAGTATTATGAAACAAAGCATTTGTATCATTAACTTCTGTTATTTTGCTCTTTTCTTAACCAGATGTCATTTATGGTTCAGATATCTTGACGATCTTTAAGGGAGGAAAAAAAGAAAAAGGAAAAAAAAAATCCTGAAAACACCAGGAAATACAATGTAATCTGTATAGTTATATGCAGATCACATGCAAATGAATGCAAATGAACTTGTGGTCCTGCTATTTTATGTATCTATAAAGACAGAACCCAGAGGGAAAACTCAAAGTGTTGCTCTTAATTCCCAACATTGAGGAGGAGAAAGAGAAGTCTCCT